GGCTGCGTGTTCTGCATACATGTACAACATCGTGCAGGTTGCCTGACTGAAGAGATAGACATTAGATAATTATGAACGGATGCAATTCCGAGAGTTCAGTTTTGATGGGCAATAATGAACATTGTTATAGAGTTGTAACTATAAACTTGAGGGTGAAATACAGTTGCAATGCAGCACTAAAACTAAGGGAGAAAATCCTTTAAAATAAAGTATAAAGAGTCGTATCCCGGTTGCCGATCTTAAATGGTGCCAACTGTATCAGGAGATCTGTGGTCAGACAATCAAAGAACGTTGAACCTTTGATTTCTATTTCAAAGTTTTCAATCCACTAAGTCAAACAAAATAAACAACAGAAAGACAGATTCTTTAACGTACAAGACCATTAAACGGCGCTCATACTTGAATGGTGAAAAAACAAACAATGACTTTCTACTTGGAAAAAAAGGTTGTTAAGATGGGCCATAAAGGGGCCCCTTTTCTCTTGAACAGAGGACAAACTAATAACAAAACGAAATACTACATCCATTTTTGAAAGGTTCTAAATTATTTGGTAGGCCTACAGATTTATCAGCAAACACTTTGATGCTATGTTATCTCAAAATTTTTCACTCTTCCTGGCGTTTTTTGTTGTTGTTTGTATTTCATATTACTCAGGGCTTCTTGCAATTTTAACAAAATGATGAAACACGTATTATTACAGAGGAATCGGACATTTATAGTGGTGCTTTCTTATGAGAGGTGCACATGCATTTTGGCGTTGTGGCAGTAAGTGGTAAAATTACAGAATTTCTTCTTAGTTCCAGGAGATTAGATCACCGTATATTTCAATTGCCTACCGTGAGTTCTAGTAAAATAACGTGCATTATTCAATGTCAGATGTTTCCAGTAATAATATCAAAAATTTCCACGCAACAGGTACCGTCACTTTGGTTTCAACTCAACACATTGGTGGGTGGAGAAGGGGTGCGGAGGTTGGTTCGTCATCACTGAATGCAAGCCTCTCGATGACGCAGCAGAAGAACACAGTTTTGTTCAAGGTATGCTTATAACACACTGAAGCATCCTACGTGTATTTTGATACTATCGTGTAAGTAGATTTTACACACGCACACACACACACACACACACACACACACACACACACACACACATATGCACACACACAAACACACACACATACACACACACTCATGCACACACACTCATGCACACACACACACACACGTACACACATGATTTTAATATTATGTCATACGTGATTTTAGCTTTCTGTATCGTTTCAAATGTAAACTGCAAAACGTAGATGAAACGCATCTGATTATACTTTGATAATATTTTTTTTTTAACTTTTGTTTTTATATCTAGATCTAGATGTGATCAACTTAGACTCACCGGGGGAGACAATCCACCCAACAAACCCACAAGATGCGAGGTACAGTTCTTTTTTCTTTTATTTTAAGAAATTAGTTTACATAGGGGAAAGGAAAACACAATAAGTTAGAAGATATAAGTATATCCTAAATATGATTTTTTCAAAAGAAGGAAAGTGTTGTCATTTGTCGAAATGTGTTAACAATAAAGCCCCGTAGTATTTGAATTTATTTATTTTAATGAATACTCCTCCAAGATCTCTAAGATTAGGAAATAAATCTGTTATGATAGCTGATAGCACCATGGAAAGGAGGTCAAAAACTGGCTGGGACAGTGAGGTCTTTTTCTTATCCATCTCCGTCTGTCTGGAACTCTCTCCCACAACTGTACAATTAGAGATATACAAAGTCGAAGGCAAAATTTAGTAATCATCAAAGACGTACTTCATTCATTGTCCATATCATTTTGATAGCTAGTCCTTATTCATAATACTCCCATGTTCTTGGTGTGATGTGCATACCGTCATCGACCGTGCTGTATTAGTAAGAATATCTGCTTATATGTTAGCATTAAACTAAAGAGTGTATGTATGCGCGCTGATGCACTTGTATTTTGTACTAAGGTAGCGTTTATCTTTTTTCTGGTGTGCCAGCTTTACACATCCCAGACATCAGTACAGAATAGAACACTGCGTTTGGAATTCCGAAATCGAGCAGTCTATCGACATAATCAGCCCAGTGAAATTAAATCCTTTTGAGGTTAGAAAACAGATTCTCGGCAATTGCTTTTAGAGAACATCGGCGTCTGGTGTTTTGACTTGCCTTTTGATACCAAGAATTGCCCTCGGGCATTTCATGTGTAAATGTTTAAGCTTCTGAGTACGGCTTTTATGCACAGTTCAGGTCTCGCCACCAGAAAACAGGGCTAGCAGGACCACAGCATTATAGACTTCCAACTTAGTCTGTGTGTGGATGCTTTGCTCTGAGTCTTCCAATGGATGCACTTGCTTTATTCATACATAAAGCTATTTCTGTATCTTTGCGTATTTGAAGATGGTGTAGTGCCGAAGCTATCAACATTGCTGACGTTTAAGCTATCAACATTGTTCAGTATTGTCTGATGTATTTTGATTTCAAGGGAAGGTCTGCGTATTACCCGGAACGGGCTGAAAGAGGACATTGTCTTCGTTGTTGTTGTTGCGAGTCTAAAGTTCTCATATTATGCATTTGAAAAGAGTTCAACAAACTTTTGCAGGCTGGGTTCTTCATGAGCAGTTAATGCGCTATCATTGGCAAATAGCAGTTCATAGACATGCATCCTGCTAGTTGTTGTCTTTGCTTCAAGCTCTCTGGAGTTGAAGACTTTGTCGTCCTGTCTATAACTAATATCAACACCAGAAGGGTGGGGGTGGGGGGCACAGGAATGCTTTATGCACCATCGTTGAGAACAAAGTAATGCTGCCAAAACCCAGTTTTGCTTCCGACCATTTATTGTCACACAAAAGGCTTCCGACATATCGACTTTGCTCTTAACACTGGCTTTCGTGTCGTCATAAGATTAATGAGCCGTAGTAATAAATGTGTCGGGCAGTCGTATTTGGCCAGAATGTTCCATAAACTGTCTCGACTAACGGTATCAAAGACCTTTGTTAGATCTACAAATGGCATGTATAAGACTTTGCTCCTGCCCCATGCATTTTTCCTTGATCTGCCTGGCCGCAAAGATCTTGTCAGTTGCATCCCTTTTGGTGCTGAAGCCACGCTGACTTTCAGGCAAGACATCATTTAAAGACAGATGCTTCAACTGTCGATTTTGAGGAATACAGGACAGGACCTTACCAGCTACAGACAAGAGGGATACACTGGGGAAAAACACAGCACGGTTTCGAGGTCACAATAAAATTCGTCTTTGGCAACAACTGGGTTGACCATCTAAGGGGACATAACAAATGCACTAACAAATGTTGCATAATATTGGGTTTAACCAAGAGGAAGTCTCAAAACCACGAGTATGTCATTAATACCCTCAGAAGGGATTCCAGTTGGGCAGTTATGACATTTTTCCTTGCAAAGCTAATACCAACTGTTCTACTTTCTGAAAAATATGTTCCCTTCTGAAAAAAAAATATCTGTCGCCCAGCGTTTTCAACTGACCATCATCAGCATACCTAGTTTAACTGAGAGCAATGATATCGAGGTCATAGCTGCTGAAATCTATTGCAATAATTGCTGTCCTCCTTTCAAGATTGGAGCCCCATCACCATGAAGTGTACTAATGTTCCATCAAACAATGTACTGCAATTTTGTTTTATTGTTTCGACCGACATTGTGGAATCCTTTCTGATCCTTGTGAACCAAGCCATTATAATGGTCTATTGCCCTAGTTGCCAACCATAGGCCTGCTTCCACCAACTTCGAACACACTTCCATGAAGAATGCTTATCTGCTGCAAAAGACATAAATCGTATTGCACACAACCCCGTTTAGAATAGTTAGGGCCACTGAAGTATTTCACTGAAACCCTCTAGCATGTGGCCGTTTGGGCTCAGTGAGCCTCGACCGCCCTGTCCACTAGTACCAACGAGGTATGCGCCCCTTGATGACTTGCTAGAACACCAGTCCATGCAACTGGTTGTACTGAGGTACATAATAAACAGTAGGAGGGACTTTCCCTGACCTGACATATATTATGAATATAATTCATGTCTATTGTGTGTATGTGTGAGTGTGAGCGTTCGCGACTGTGTGTGTATGTATGTGTGTGTGTGCCCTTCGCGCGCGCGCGTGTGTGTGTGTGTGTGTGTGTGTGTGTGTGTGTGTGTGTGTGTGTGTGTGTGTGTGTGTGTGTGTGTATGTGTTCGTATATTTTATGTATGTGTCTGCATTCATATGCCCGCGTGCTTATATAATAAATGTGTATGTCGTCGCAAGCTAAAGCTGACAGTTACATCAACACACCAACAAAAAGACAAAAACTAATAAATAAACTCAGTACCCTCCCTCCCCCCACTACGCATTTTGATTCCCGTTCCCCCACTTCAGCAATCCAACAACCACCAACTCTGTGGATGACGTGTACAAGAGCTGGCCACGTGTGGGGTACCACTTCCCGACCTCTGATCTCATGTGGGACATACTGGACAAGGCAACCTGGGTGGACGTTCCAGCTCAGCTGGTCAGTATAAGCCTTATACATGATCTGCAATAGTTTTGTCTGTCTCAGGTGGCGATATACATGATTTGCAATAGTTTTGTCGGAGTCAGTTGGCGATATACATGATTTGCAATGTTTTTATCTGAGCCAGTTGGCGACATACATAATTTGCAATAGTTTTGTCAGAGTCAGTCAGTTGGCGATATAGATGATTTGCAATAGCTTTGTTTGAGTAAGAGTTTTACGGCACTTTGCAACACAAATGAGTTATATAAGTGTCAAAGATTAGAGATTTTACTAGAATAAGAAAGTAGCTTACAAAGAAAAGAAGAAGATATAAGAACGATTATGTTTAATATGACAGAAGGAGCTATTTTGTGATAAGATAGAAGATGGCTTTAACAACTAGGTTGAATAAGAAAAAGGGGAGGCAGTGGTGGGATGTGAAAAAGGGGGAGGGGTTGGACTTAGTTGATCAAATGGATCAATATTATTGGGTCAGGTCAGAAAATCCAACAGGCCAGTGTATTGTAAGCAGACAGAATTCCACACAGATAAAGTTTGATGTTTGATCATTTCATGAAGAAGAAGAAGAAGAAGAAGAAGAAGAAGAAGAAGAAGAAGAAGAAGAAGAAGAAGAAGAAGAAGAAGAAGAAGAAGAAGAAGAAGA